CCAGTATATAACACTAAAACACAATGCACTGCAGTGACGCGTCATTCATCTTACAGACTATTTTGCGAGCTTGATTCCAAGACTTCAGGCACTGCAGAGCACTGAGAACTAGTCAGCCACATCGGTTACCCACTGGTAGCCATTTTGTGCAAGTCAAACTTACTACTGAAGTACTGATTAAGTACAAGCTCATGCTTAAGTTTCTTTTTCGCAAAAATCTGTTCTTGTTACCTCTGTGTCGCTTCAAATCCTTGGATTCCTTGGTCACTTCGTTCAGAATGTAAGTAGCAAAACTTGCATACTAACATCCTCACATCTTATTTCATAAACTCTCATCAGCCTCAATACAGTTCTAAAGTCGTGGACTTTTTCATAAACAAGAAGTATGTGACCTACTTTAAGTGCTTCTGGAAAGGACTAAGTGGGAAGCTCAACACTCAAACAGATCAAGAAAATGTGGTGACAAGGCAACAAAACTATTAAAAACTTGGTTGTTTCTATGTGTTTTAAGTGATAGAAGAAAAAAGAAGGATTTTTAAAGTGCAGGTACAGGTATTCGTGATTTAGTTGTCAGGTGAAAATATCCATGTACAGGGAATTTTAGGTGTGAATTTAAATCAGTTAGTGAAACTCAAATGTTGAAAATATCAAAGAGCAGATTGTGGGATCCACATGTCAAAAGTCCGCTGGTAACAGTCCATGGAACGAGATATGAGCATGTTATTTTATAAGTATTGTTTTTCTTGATTTAATCAAACTGTCCATTTTTATTGCATCACCAAGATATACAATCTCTACTACATCTGCTTCATGTTGTTTTCACATCTCTCCTTCCCTTCTAAATTATTCTTATCGTAATGAATAATATTTTTTCAAATCTAAAATGATTGCAAAGCTTTTATAGAGAAAATTATCTCCTTCAGTCAATCTTTCCTCAGCAGTTTGGTGCAAGTATTCTGTAAACTACAGTTTGCCTTTTGAAGAATATTTAATTTCATGTTATCTAGTTCTAAATGTTGATAGAATTCCATCTGTTTGTGTCGTAATTTATTTTCCAAGCTAGTAGAGTTACCATTGTGTTGAACCTTTGATTGATTTATTGAATCCTTTCAGCAGTCGGGAAAAGAGATGTGATTAGTTACCTTTCATTGGCTACACAATGTATCTAATCCAGTTTTATAATAGATCAGTTGCGGCCCAAATAGCTCAATGGTGACGTCACTGGCTTCAGGAATGGGTGACTTAAGTTTAGTAATCTCAGAGGACATCAGTTCCGTTGTGGAGAAGGCCGAACATGCATGGAACCTAAATAAAGAAGGGCTTCTTGCCTCTTCACCTTCAACCTCTTAACATTCTAGAAAGTAGTTATATACACGTTCTTCCTTGATGAATTGAAACCAACACCTGGTTAGCTAGTGGATTTACCAAGTCCGTCGTTAAATTATACTATCTGCAAGTGACAGGTTATCAGTGCCGGTTCAGGTTTTTATTTTTAACATGTTATAATGGAAGCATATGAATTAGTCAAGATAATTGTGAATGAAAATCTAATAATAAGACAACTTTCATCTATGACCAAAGTTATTGCACAACAATGAATAGTTTTATGTAAAATAGAGATTTTAGGCGTATGAATAAGAATTCTGTGATGATATGTGGGAAAATAGATTCTCGAAACCATTTTGTGTAACAAAGTTTGTCTTAAAGTTTTTTTCATAAACAGTGACCAAAGGAATAATTTGATAATATCTCCTTTTCTGAAATACTATTCCAAAAGACTAAAATCACTTATCCACAGTAAGTAATAATAACACAAAGTAGAAACCCGTCACTCTTTGAAAACACCTAAACAAAACACTAGCTCTTAAAATAAGACTCTAAAAATTGACAGGGATATCGAAAAATGCTCCATTGATATCTCTTTGAGAAAAATAAGCGACAGAAGAGAAGATGTGGATAGTTACAAAAAGCTGGCGAAAAATGAAAAACATTCTCCACCTTACCCTTTTACACATGTATGTGTCTTGAAGAATAGATTAGTTTGATGATTAAAACAAAATTTTACGTTTAAATTTCACTATTTGTAAATGCTTACAACTGACGTTTGGTTTACAAAATGCACTATGGATAACGTTTTTATGGTTATCAAAATTTCAAGTTGTTATTCATCGTAGGCTGACATCAGTTGGAGGAACAAACGAAACCTAGGAGTACTGGACAGCTATTTCATCCTAGTATGGACGGTTACTCAGTGATGACATTGGATGGCGGTTGCGCTATATCGTGAGCTAACAGAAGTTGGAAATATGGAGCATTGGATTCTGACCCAGTGGCCCAGTGGTAACGTGCCGGCCACGGAATCTGAAGGTCACTGGTTCGGTCCCTGGTGGGGTGGCGGGTGCGCACTGCTGAGGAATTTCATAGTAGGACGAAACAGCTATCCAATGCTCCCAGGTTTCCTTTTTCCCTCCGACTGATGTCAGTCTACATTGAATAACAACTTGAAATATTTCCAAATCCCCACAACTCCCTCGAAATTCAGTTACCAAAATTGTCACATATAAGTGCTAAGTTATGGTAAATGGTAGTTAAGATGAACATTACTGGTTATAACATGGTAAAAAATCTAATTGGGTTGTACATATATACTGTCCTAATTACCAAATCCACATACCTGTTTAAGTATGAATTTAGGTAGCGGGAAAGCGAAACTTCAGCATTGTACAATTCTATATTGATGGTGGTTTGGTGTTCCTTGAGCTTTGATATTTTGTCGTATACTGTTCGTCACCGAACCTGATGATAATTATATATATATATATATATATATATATATATATATATATATATATATATATATATATATATATTATGAGAAGCTTCGTAAATGTAAATCACTGGGAGACAGGTGCAACTGAATCACAATGTTCAAGTTAAAATATTCACGGAATTCAGCGCAAGACAAATGTATATCCATATCCATTTCGTTACTTCTTTTCTATGCTGATATATCCATCAGTCAACATCAACACAGAACCAGACATTACTACGTAATGGTTCCAGTTGCCACACCTCATGTCAAAACAGCAAGTAACAAAATAGTAAGATGGGAGATGAAGAAAAGTTGAAAAATCGGTCAAAAGCGGTAGAAAGTAGTAAAAGAGAGAAAAGAATGAGAAAATACTAAATTCTGTATAGCGGTCAAAATGAAGATAAAGTGTGGATTCATCTGTGCTGCTGACATCTGTTCTAAACGATATCATCTAGAGACTCCACCCACTGGTTTCTGTTTTCATGTGGCCCCACAACCAGCGAGTGTGTATCGCCCTACATGACTCAAACCCAAAGCCAAAGATTTCATTCAGCGATACTGTGTCTGATCACCCTGAGCCTTTTTTCAGTTTGAAAATGCTTCAACCAACATTGCGTGATGAGGTAGATGGTGGCCAGGCATGCCTAATATATATATATATATATATATATATATATATATATACCAGCCTTCTGTGTCCATGAGGAGATTTCGTTGTCCAATTACTCACTAAGGCAGGGCAGATCCGACTTCTCAGGTAAGTGATGTGTTCAACGCACTCAACCGCCTCACTTCCTAAGGTTAACCCGGACACCGATGAACACCAGCCCTGGAGTAACAACTTACATATGGGTGGCGAGAAACGCATTTCAAGTATTCTCAAACTGTCACTCAGTATGTCCAGAAGACCCTGTAGATTCATACGTCAACGTGAATGAGTACAAAAAAGAAGCCTTTATAGCATTCCTTTCATAGATTTTCATTTAAATGTTAGGTATATCAACTTTTTTCCACATGAACTCCATAGTCAGACTGAACAGAATTCATCCTGGCACTTTAGTCACAATCCACTGAACACAACTCCCTGAAATATTTTATCTTTGATATCTAGAGTTATGTAAAGCACAATCTCTTACATATTTGTTTTAAAGTAAAATCTATGAAATTTCAACGTGAACATTGTCGTTCACTAGTAACTTCCTGAAAGTGATTCGCCAATTTATTCCTTTGAACGGGTCACTGATGTAAGAACTCTTGTGTTACTGATTAATCAAAAACATCTTTATCTTTTAAACCCCATTTTTATGCTCTAACAGGAACTTTTAAAACGAATCAAATGATAACCACTTTGACCTGAAAAGTTATCAAATGTAAGTTTGTTGACAGCTGGAGACAAATTAAAACTTATTCGACGGTCGAGTATGGTAGTTTAGTCAGCGAAGCAGCAAGTTGTTAATTCAAAGACACTTTAGTTGTCTCACAAAACAATCAAGGTTTCCAATTCAAGTCCAGTCATTATTTCCGCATAAAAATATGAATGAATAGATGAGAAAGAAAAATTTATTTGAGTACAGTGGACTGGAACTCATATTTGTTGCGTCATAAGTTAGCATACTCTTCAACTGCTCAAACTTTGATGGATACAGTTTGTTACGGATCAACCTAATGAATTTATACACCTTCAGTTCATTTAAACTACAAAGATATGATAATTAGCTAGTAATGTGATGGTATTTAAAAAATGATTTGTAATGCTTTCAAGTATCATTTTCCTAAATAAATACATCTTGATCCAAATGGAACCTAATCAAAAGCAAGAACAAAGTGTACATGTATTTTAACAGTTCATTAATTTACTAAAAATATACTTCATAAAAGCATTTACAGTGCGCAGACATCAGGTTTATTTCCAGTAATTACCTTTACAAGTTAATTTATCAATAATGTTGATTAAAGCAATCATCGATATGATAATTTCTCCATAAAACCAAGTCAAATTTTTAGGGTTTAAATAATATTGACTCATTTAAGTTATCTGAACCACAGACTCCATGAGAAGTTACTTAGCTGTCTTCTTAAAAATTTCTAAGGTTAGATAATTGCCTACTGCTGCATTGAAGTCTTTGTTTAGCACCAATTTAAAACACTTCACAAAAGTACACTAATCGAAAGGCGATAATTACTTAGGTTATGCAACACCTTGACTGGTTAGTCGTTTATTATTTTTGTAAACATTTACAAATTTAGGAAAATTTGTTGTTTCTTCTCGAATGATACGAATCATAGAAATTCGATTGCTTTTGAAGAATGTTTGCCAGATTTTAATATACAATACTATTGAAAGATTATGAAACTAATGTCTAGTTCTTTACTTTATAGAAAACGACTTCTCTAGATGAAATACCGAAGTCTAATTGGTAGCTACTAGAATGGAGTGTATAATCACCCCAGTTTATTACAGAGACCAATCAAAATTATCGAGATAACTTTCTTTTGAAGTGACAACAAAAAATCAAGATGGGGTATCCTGAGTTGGCTTAAAGTAGCTGACGAATTCTGAGGTAGTTCAAACAAACAAACAAACAAGAAATGTGCTGTTGAATGGATAATCTTGATTCAGCTTCTATTATAGTAGAAAGAAAAGGAGAAGTTTCCATCTAGTGATGTTAGTCAGTATTATATATTCTACAATTCCCGCGCATACTGTCACTCAGTCAAATAGTAAATTATGGAATCCCTTCTTACAGTAAATATAAACAATAATATGGATATCTGACAACTCTTAAATGCAAGTTTTCGAGTTGGATGAGAAAGACAAAAGATTTCAAAAAAGTCTAAAAAGGTACAGCTACATTTTCTATTTCTTTTCAAATGATTCACTTACTACCATAGTAGATATTTTCGGATTCTTTCATCTATTTTTCTTTGCTCTAACATCCTACTAGCTGTGTATATTTTTCTGACTTAGAGAATTTCTGTAAAGTAACTTAACTTTTATGATACTTAAGCTGAGAGAAGAAGAAATCGATTAAGTTCTACATCCTTATGGACAGGTATGCAACTCAGTTGTGGAATAGTTAATAACAGTGGTTATAATCCAGGATTAAGCGCATGCAAAGATTATTTGAAAACTTACATTAAGTTGATGATAGCTCAGTTGTAAAACTTGTGCTGGGAATTTCATCCATAACACGAAATAAAAACAATATCCTTTAACAAGAAGAACTGATTCTCACAAAGACTTCTACTAATGACTTATAAAAGTTCAATATTTATTGGAATGTATAACGAAATATTCCTATGACTAAACAACTTAATCATATCGGTTTCACTACTAAGTAAATAGGTATGAAAGGTATCAATATCTGACTATCAAATTGTTTATACCTACTGATAGTCAACAAGCAGTGCGAAATATGAAAACTATGGCCACACATCCATTTCTTAGTTAGTTTTCTGCCATTGCTTAATCTGAATTTTTTACACACAAAAGTCAGTAGCTAAACGATAACTTGGTGTATAAACGAATTAGAAATTTTGAAGTTGATTTGTAGAAGGCTATCAGTTAACAGTGTTGATAAGCTTCAAAACGCAGAAACAGTAGAAATCCAGAGTTGTTCAGTTTCTAGAAATTGTAAAGTTAATATCAAATTAAACTTTCAATATTTCATTTCTATAAGTCTTGTAAGAATAATTTTTTTTGGAAGTTCACTTTTTTCATAGAATAGATAAGTTAAAATTTCTTGAAATTGATAAGTTTTTCGATTTTCAACATGAAATGTTAAGAAATATTCGATAGTAATTTCATAATTAGGAAATATCTAGTTTTCCTATATATTTTGGTATGGAGCACATTTTATTTTCCTTACTTAAACTTTATATGAATGACAGACTAATATTTATATTACCGAAGTGATAGATCAGATCTAAAAGAGAGTAAGGAGTGTTGTTTGGAACCAGATTCAATGACTTTTGTATTACAAGCCTCAGTGTATACAACTACTATAAGAATTGAACACTGTAAAAGATAACCCTAGAAAATATTGGATGAAATCATATTACCTGAAATATTTTCCAACTGTTCCTGTATATTCGAGTCTTTATTTAGTTCGGAAAAATTAGTCACATAGTGATCACTGAATAGTGAATTCATTGCCTTTTGAGCAATAAACTCTCGATTATGATTATTTTTTGAAAATTTTGAATTATTGTGGTTATTATTATCAGAATTGAAGATGACATTGTTCGTATTTTCAAGGTTATAACTATTATACATCTTTTTTTCATAATCATGATAAAATTTTTGAAATGAACTGTTTAGATGGGAAGTATTGTATGACTGTGTCATTGGAACAGTAGAAACAGCAGCCGGCACATTATTATACTGTAGAATGCTATGGTCATAGTTACTTGGGTCGGTTCGTAACAATGGTCCAGTAGCATCTGTTGTCATCAAAGTCGATGAAGCAGAACATTCAGCTAATAGCGATGGTAGTAATGAGATACTACTACAATCTTTTGAGTTCTTAGAATTCTTCGCAAAATAACTAGATAACTGACTGGTGAATACCGAAGGATCATTATAACCAGAAGAATTTAAGCTGGATAGATTATTTTCTGTGAAAACTGGATCTGACATTGAGATATTCGATCGAGTAAGAGGGGCGGATAAACTTCCTGCCACTTGTTCTATATATTTAACAGTATTATTACTGTTTTTATCGTTGTCTCCTTTTAAAGTTCCTGCCATATGATTATAAATTGGTGGATTACTGATTGATTGTTGACAGGAATTATGTGCTATTACAGCCAAATGCTTCCAATTGGTTGAATCCCAAACAGATGAATTAAAAAGTGGAATCAAAGGCTGATTACTTGTGTTGTTTGCTGATGATGAATAAATTGGCATTTCTTCCTTTCTCTTCTTTTTCGAATGTTCATCATAATTATCATCGAAATAATTACCAACACTAGGATAGTTTGATAATCCCGTATAGAAACAATTCTCTGAACAGTTGTTATTTTGACTTTGTTGTTGTGTATTTAGTGTGTACAAATTCGGATTCAATGTTTCAATGTTAGGCGCAGGAAATGTTTGTTTAAACTTTACATGTTCATTGCGGTTATCAAAAGAAAATTTATCCGCTGAATATATACAGTCACTGGATTTGTTTGTCGATCTACAGAAATCATTTGCGGCAACTTTGGAAGTCCCTTTACTACTGCTTTCATTCAATAAAGATTGAACTTGACTATTCGTCGAGTTACATATAGGTACTGTCCTCTGTGACTGACTAACCGCAGTGTTATGCAATGGACTGTGTAACAAAAACCCCAACTGTGCGCGCCTGTTACTGTTCAAATTCTCATAACTGTTGTTATTATGATAACCATAGTGAAGTTCAGTTTGTTCAGTTGCAGTCGAGTTATTGATTTGAGAACAAAGCGTAGAATTATAAGGTTTCATGGAATAAATATTCGGGGTAACCATCTTACTCGATTAATGTCGTGAAAATTAGAACTTTTCCTGCCGAATTTTAGCAGTAATAATAATTTATAATAGGATTACTATAATTGTATCTAAACTTATTAGGTTAGGCACGAAAAATGAGTTTATTTCCGCGCATTCCAAATTAAAATTGGCCTGTCTTTCATTTTCCTCTGATAAACCCCACCCTTCTCATTTAATCCATACACTCATATACACACACGAATACATAAAAAAAAACGGGAACACGAACACTTAGATAATATCAACTCAAAACTGTCTTACAGGAAATTCTCACTTTCATTGTTTTCGTCCTCTAAACAATCTCTTCCTAAGCGTTATTCGCATTTATAATGTATTGGCTGATTGGGAAAGAGAGAGAGAAATTCTGTAACCTACTCAACATACTCCTCATATGATCTGTCCACATACCAACCAACACGATAACAACCATAGAAAATTGGGTTTAATTTAATTTGATTGGCAATAGGGAATTGAATGTTGCTAAACATTACAACTGATTATCTAGACAAATTATTTTTGTTAATGAGACTGTCATTTTTTCTCCTCTATGGTTACTGACTAAGTAGATTATTTTTACTGAGTAATACTCAGAGGTGAAGTGAAAACCTGAATTGTGGTAGGATTCCAGTCAGAGACCTCCAGTTTACCCACCCAGGATGGAAAGAAAGGGTGAAATATGTTGTATTACTTGTGACTTCAGATTTCAGGTTCAGATTTGTAGTTTGAGGATAGAATGCTATGAGCCAATATTAATTTTTTCAGTAGGTCTTTGTGCTCATCCAGTCCGCTTTTGAACGAGTCAGCTGAATGTACGGATATCACCTATCCTGGGAGTTGGCTCCAGGAGTTGAATATTTGACGTGAGAAACACTACTCTACGAAGACTACTTTCATCATTTGCTTTTGTATTCTTCTGTCGTGTCCTCTGAGGTGTTCGAATTTGGTGGGAAGGGAAAGAGAAGATGGTTCCTACATAGCACGATTAGATCTCTCCTGTTTGCGACACGATAAGAAGAATAGTTAGAGTTCCTTAAGTCATTTTTCATAGGTCAGGTTAGTTATTACAGAGATCATGTTTTCTGAACTCTTTCCAGAAGGTTTGAGTCACTTTTAAGACAAGGGTATTGTAGAAAGGTATCAAGAAAGATTCTTAGTAATTAGAATCCCAAGGATGACTGTAGTCGGAAAATGATAGTACTTTATGAAGATATGATTGTACGAGTCATCAATCTAAAGGAGAAATATATACCTCCACTGAATTCTGTCTGGGTGAAACCATTGTTAACCACAGATGGAAGTTAAGTTTGTAGTCACCATTTGAACGTCCTGTCTGATTGTAGACAACAACCGACTTTTTATTCTTGTTGTTTTCACTCAACTAAACTTAAATAACACGTGAAGAAATGAAATAACGCAAAAGTGATGAATGGTGGTACCATAAGCGATAAGGTTCAGATGACAAACATAATATGCCATAAAGTATTAACATCCGAATATTTATTTGTATAATAAAGGCAAAACATTACTCGTGACATTTATCACTAACATTAGGTGGCTGAGGCGAAACTTTAATAAAGTGAACTGAAAACTAACGGCAAGGGGAACCGACTAGTTCAATAAGAAATCAACTACATCAGTGAGCTTTGATTTCGTCTGCCTTGAAACAATCAGTCGAAAGCCCTCTTGACGTTGCTTTCCTATTTGTCAGCACTCATTAGCAAGGTATAGCAATATTCCCGTATCACGGGTTGGAATCCTAGTCACTCATTGTTGGAGTTACAAGTATCCTCAGCGAAACATTCAGATAGTGAAAAATCCTCGCAGAAATGGATGATACAAATCATCTTTTTCTGGGACAAAGAATATGTTCACTCAAGTATGCATATATAAGTTGATGATGGGTGTCAGCGAGAACTGAACGTAAGTGAAATAGGACTGTGTTTTATTGTAACAAGCTGTAGACGGATGAATGGGGGTAGTGTTTTGATAATTTAATTTCCTTCCTTCAATAAGTTCATGCCATATTTCTCAAATATCTTTGTATATAGAATCGAAAATCCGAAAGCTAAGTACACCAGTCTTTGCAACTCATCCATCAGTGGAGAGTAAGTTGGCATCTGTCACCAGTAAATCGCCTGGGGAATCTGGATGTGTCAACTCAACTGTCTACGACGGTAGTAGTAGAAAATACAAAAGAGGAAATTATGTTCATATTTCGCGCCAGTTAAAACTTCTGAAGACAGTCAATAGGAGGACCCAGATATATATTTCTTTTGTGTTCGTAGCCATTACTAAGACTTTTGGATAATTTGAAAGAAGGGCATGGCAGTTCAGAGCTTGTATCCATGTTACTTCATATCTCCTTCACCGGTGTTATCACTCTACTTTGAGACTTAATCATTTCTCACTTTAGAAGTATTCTAAGCACTCCAATCACCTATTGAGCAAAAAGTGACATAAAGTTTGCTAGCTTTTAGTACAAATAAACTTCTCCCGACTAACTGTGCAATTTGACCAGAATAATAACTGAATTTATATCGTGGTGTACTGTTTTTGATATATGACAGTTTTAGACAGTTTTTAGACGTAATAAGGAAACCGGAGTAAAATAATGCCATTAGTGAGGCTTTAAAAGATTAGGCCAGATTTGTGGTTAACACATAGACGATATGACTCGGATGATGAGCACGGTGCCCCGATGAGCATTTCAAGTGATCTCTAGTTACACTTTAATTATCCGCTTTCCAGTTGTATATCAAACACAGCATTGAAGTAGGACCTATAAATCTCACACAAGTTGAGATAGTTGCAAGTAAAATGAAGCGAAGAAGGCCAGTATGCTCCTTTGATCTTTCACCAGGGCTATCTACGTTCGGCATCTGAATATAATCGGCTATACTAACTGAAGTATTTCCTGGCACATGGGATTCAAATATGACCCTTTCTGAATGATTCAGTCAATAATCCCTCCGGTATTCAATAAATGATGAAATACCTGAAGAAAATTAGTTTGACGAGTATGAGATGCAAGATTCTAGGTCTTATAATTATTAAACTTTCAGCTGGAGTTCAAGAGCAGCAACCATGAGAAAGATAGCCAGGTCTTAGACGTAGTTTTCGGTGTAATAACCAGATATTCACCCCTGACCAGTTTTGGAAAAAGGTTTTACGTACCGGCATTCAAAACTGCCTGTATTCCTTAACTTGAAGACAGTATTCGAATTCACCGATTGAGGTCTTATGGTGGTGTCTCTTACTGAAAAAGATGTCAGATAGGTACATCACCTTACAAGAGGATTTATATTTGAACGCTCATGGTAGCGTTAACACTTAGCGTTACCTACCAGCTAAATGTTGACATCAGCTGACTTTACTCAGGGATGTGCACTCTCTCTACTGCACTTTGCCATATCACACAATTTATTGTACAACTGAGGTATCCGACTACCTAGTAAGGGTAGACTCACCCGTACAGAAGTTTGTTCCTTTCTACCATGAGGCTGCCAGACGAGACACAAAAAGGCTCCAGGTTTTCATCTGTTATCTTTGTTATATTTCCTAGGTACCACCTAAAAAGCTAGTGAACATTGCATAGGTGAATCAAAGAGCCTTAGATAAAATAAGTAAGTTGGTTAACAAGGTTGTAAACGTGAAGTAAGCTTACAGTAGAAGGGAGGGAAGCAAAGCATAGCATCATTTCGTTTACTCCATGAATGTCAGTTACAGTAGTGTAAGGAAATGCCGAATTCCTGGTCCAGGTTTATGTAACAGCCGTGGTAGACCATCTGAAACTCTGTGCGACTTCACGCGGAATTACTGTCAGTAATACAAATGACTTCCTATCTTATATTCATCCGAAACACTCTTTCTCACTTCATCACTTCACCTTCTCTTACTTTCTTTTTCCGATAGTGATCAAATCATCTGCATTTCTTTGTTTTTCAGCTTGTTGCATTTCAACCCAATATTCTTCTGTAAAGTGTCGCAACTTTGAATATGACATACTTTTGCTATGCTTATGTTAATACAAACCAAGTAACTGGCTGTAGAAAGTTGTTCTCGTTGTGAGGTCCAGATATCTTCAGGCATATAGCTGGACCTAAAATATTGTAAACCCCTTTTACTGCATCTGAAACTTATCAACTCCATATCTCCATGTTTGCTAATGTGGCCAGTGAAACTCAAGCCCAGTGCCTATTTCCTCAAACACTTGTTAGCTACTTGCTAGGCCAGTGAGCCACGCTTAGTACTTCTGTTTAACAGATATAAATGTTATATTGCAGTTCTGATTTCTGTTAGTGTTTGAGTCTCCTAATGTCTTAAGTCTATTAGCATACCGAAACTTTGTATTCATCCATTGTTCTAGTTGTGTAAGAAGTTTCTCCTTCCACGTCAACTTCTTCAAGCTTCCGGAAACCACTGACCAAAACTCACACAGCAGTTGGCAATCAGTTCATTCTCTACATTCATTCTATCTCTTCCACTAAACTATGATGATCTATTCAGTCGTTTACCTTTCTTCTCACTGCCCTATACAACCTTTCCCTACCTTCATGATTTTTTGTTTATACGCTGTTGATATTATCCGCGAAAGATGTTTTCAAGAGTTTCGAAAATAACTTAACAGAGACGTATTAAGTCAGTAGTTATCTGCTTAACAATAACTTTTAATTTAAGGCCTGTACAATGCCGACAGGAAATAGGTATTTCACCACATGGTAGAGATTTCTATTTCAGAAATATATGATCATTCAAAACACCTAGGCATAATGCAGGTTTTACTGACACACAAGGTAAATCTGAAATCTACATAGTAGTGACAAACCATGTAGACATTACCTATTCTGAGTGTGAAATTTTGACCGAACTAATGTTTAAAAGGTTATTGCGATGATTCGTGTACACTTATCAGATGGTGTTTTTGAATGTTACCTTGCCGAATGAGCTTCAGTAAGTCACACAGACTGTGTGATTTAGAA